CCTCCTCTTTCCGTGGGGGCTGCCACAACCATGCTGGTGAGCCCAAGGTTACCAAAAGGGCAGCTCCACCTCGGTGCTGTGGTGGTGGGTGGCTGCTGCCGGGTGACACAGCCAGGCTACCTCCACCACTTCCGCTGCCACTGCTGCTGCATCCCTGCCGCAAGCCCGAGCACTGCTTGCCTCACGGCTGCATGTGCTTGACACCATCCCTGCAGCAAGCCGAGGTGCCCGTGGCAGCCAGGAACAGTAGCGACGGTGGCTGCAGGAGGGGGGGGCGGGGGGGCCCGGGTGGTGGCAGCCACACGTGGAGTTGGAGTGTGGCACCTGGGCGCAGCAGCAGTGGCTGCAAGCGGAGCAACAAGGAGAAAGCGGTGGCAGCCGAGCCCACCTCGTTCTCCTCCTCTATGCCAAGAGGCGCTGCAAGGGCTGCTCTGCCTCGTGTGGCAAGAAGGAGCAGGAGGCCAAGGTGCACTGCAGCCCACCCAAAGCTGCCAAGCCATCAGCCAGGTCCCCTCTCTTCCTGCTGGCAGCCCAGCCTTGCTCCATGGACCCCTGCCTGTCCATGCCCTGTGCTCCTGCCAGCCCATTCTGGGTCCTGCCAGCACTGGTACCGGGATACCAGTGTAGGCCCTGCACGCACTCACCTCCATTGCCACTGCTTTCCCCACTTTCCTGCCCACCTGCCGGCCACTCTGCACCGTGTCTCCCATACCCACAATACACACACACCGCCACAAACCCCCAGTCCCACCCACAGCTCCCCACAAACCCCACCCGCCCATACTCCCCTGACACCCATGCACACCCAACACAATATACGAGGAAGACTACATTTTGCAGCTATTATGCAATCACTTCTACAGATACAGCACAAAAGCACACACATCAGGACAACATTTTTTTTATATTAAATTAAAATATATTATTATTGGTATTTAATTTTTAGTATATAATTTGGTTTTTTTCCCCTAAAATGGCAAACCCTGCCAGGCTGGCAACGGGGGCGGGTTACAAGCTGGTGCTGAGTGCAGGGAAGAGCAGCTTCTTCCCTGCTGACAAGCAGGGGGTTGGGGCTGTGCACTGCCCCCAGCCTGTATCACAGGGCTGGGAAGCACTGGGTGTGAGTGGGCGAAGAGCCACTGGGAGCACGGGGCCCGCCCCGGTGCCCTGGGGCCAGTGCTAGTGGGGCCCAGAGCAGGGTGGCAGGAGCGCAGGGTCCCAGCTGGCAGGAGCTCTATGGAGCCAGGCCAGCTCCCCTCTCTCCCTGCTGGTGCAACCCAGTCTAGCGCCACAGACCCCTGCCAACCTATGCCCCACTTTGGGCTCCACTGGTGCTGGCCCTGGGACATTGGTCCCAAGATGGTGACCAGGGGGTGGGGCATCTGTCAAGGGGTGGGGCTACCCATGCGGCCCTCCACAGCCTGCCAAAACTGGGTAAGTGGCCTTCTGCCCAAAATAATTGACTGCCCCTGGTCTAAATGGTTCACAAACGATCAATGAAAAGTGTGAGAATACCCACATTAAGAGTTCAGAGGGGCCTGCACCTTTATTTAAAAGTTTTTTTATGGGTCCAAAATCAGTAATGTGCACTACGAACCAGTGCCTAGAGGAGGAAGGTGAATAGGGAAGTACCAAAACTGGCAGACGCGCGCTGCATGGTGGCTCCTTTAATCTTGCATTTTGCTAGTTGGGGGCAGGGGCTCATGGTGGAGAGGGGACCCGCTGCTCACCCTTGGTTGGTGAGGAGAGAAAAGCCATGGTTTTAAATATGGTGCAGTTTTTCCCTCCTGCCGTTGATTGGCTGAGAGGCCTTGGTGGGGTCCCACTGTTTGCTGTTGACCAGGCGGAAGGCAAAAACCATGCTATATTTAAAACCACAGTTTTTGCCTCCCTGCTGATCAGGAGTGAATGGCGAGGCCCCTCTGCCAAGCAGCAGCTGGGAGTGGGGAGGACGTGTGCCTGGGAAACTGCAAAATTAAAGCAATTGCCACACAGGGCACTTCTGTTGCAATTTCGGTAGGTTCCTAAAGATGATCAATGGTGCTGGTTGCACCTGCATGCTGCTGTATACATGTATGAGTTTCTGGTGAGGGTAGATCATTTTGGCATTTCCTTTTATTCTTGCATCTGGCTAGGGAAGGCAAGACCTGAACTACATCAAGCAGCAAGAACTCAGAACATTTACCAGCGTATTGCTTATTGAGCTATGCTAGACCAACATCACTAACTGCTGAAGAATTTCTGTAAGCACTCATTCTGTTGCTGTGCCATCCTAGTT